GTCAGTCCTGTTGCCAACCTCTCCTCCTGTACTACCTTTGCACAGATCCAACCTTAGATTCTGGCCTACCAGAATCTTCACCTTTGGTGAAAAACCTGAGTGGAGCAACCCAGGTACATTTTGCTGGTTTTACTTTTTTTTTTTTTTTCCCCTCCCTCAATATAGTAAAGCTTACGAAACTAAGCAAATTCACATGCAAAATTGCTTAGGTCATTCTGTGCCCACACCAAAAAGAAAGGAAACTGCCTACATAAAAACCCAGAAAGTTACTGTAACCACTGATATTCCTGGTGTACCAGTAAGCCAGGGTTTCCTCAAATTAATCAGCTGTAGAACAGGGTGTTATGCCTGTGGCCCTCCAAGAGATTCAAAAATCAAGGAGTAATGGTAATACACAGTTAAACAACCTTGCTTTAAATTTATACAAAAAGTATTGTACCTGTCTTGTACCTCAGCACCTTTACGTAGGAGCAACATACAGAGAGATTTGAAGTTTATTTTGATTGCATAAAATGAGAAAGTACTTATAAATTTAACCAAAAAGTAAAAAAAAAATCCAAAAAAAAAGTAAAATGTAGTCCTTTAAGTATTAACTGCATCCCTACCATATCTGCAAATATCTCTGTTAAAATTTTTCTTTTTTGTAGCTGGATTCTTCATTAAAAATAGAAAAAAAAATGTTTACAAAAATATTAAAAATATTCCCTCAAGAGAGAAACTACTGTTTAATAGAGAAAATTGTAACAGGTTAAGTGCTACAAAAATAAAAATTTTAAATGGCTAATATTAAAAACAACAACTAAGTCAAAAAAACAACTAAGATGCAATGACAGATCCTTGTCTGAAAGCATTATTTACCTAATTTCAGGAGATCCTCATTTGCTTTTCTAAGCCATTAAAAGTCTAAACTGGGTGTTTCATGTGTAAAAAGTCAGTGTAATAAAAAATTGTGTCTTCTTATGATTGAGGTTCTTATCACTGAAAATATCTGTGCAACTGTCACAGGCAAACAAATGTAACACTTATTAGGTAATGCATCTTTTCTCAGATGCAGAATTTTATCTTCCAGTCACAACATCACCCCATATTTGTGGAAAGCAACAGAATTTCCCTAAGCTAGCTTGAGCTGCTCAGTAACACCAATTACGTAAGAGTTTTCATAAGACAATAAATACTGTAGAAAATACAGTAGATATATAGATATAAGCTAGCAGTCTTACATCAAAGCCATAGAATTACCTACATTTGGGAGTTTATTTGCCAATCACAATTAGGCTCAGTCCCCAGAAAAGAAAGGAGGAGATTTTTGTTTGTTCTCATTTCCTGTGTAGGTTGACTTTCATGAGAGTTACAAAGACAACTTGACTTTGATCAAGGTTTTTAGCCAAGTAACATTGGGAGAGTAGAGTCAGCAACAATGGAGGTAATAGATACAGAAAATAAAGCCTTATCGAGTTTGTATTTCGCTATAGTGTAGAATTTTCATCCCTTAGCTCATTTCTATAAGCACTCACAACTTACACTCATACAAGACTAACATCCCTTTAAAAAACACTATTTATTTATTTATAGTGCTGTACAACAGTAGGCTGCCATCAGTCTTGCCTCAACCATCACTGACAAACCCCACCTAAACCAAGTGCTACAGTGGTATGGCAAGTTCAGTAACAGCTGAACTGACATCCCTGTGGAGAGCTGCCTTTGGCTCCACCCAAATTGGTTTGTTACCTTCCTATTTTACCATTTATCAATTTAGCTCTGACCAAAGCCTAAGTCAGACTCAAGACTACCTGACCTCAAACTGCTTACCCAAAACTTTAATCTAGAAAGACTGGTTATTATAATTCATGAGCAGAACAGCTTGTAAGTCCTGTAGCCTTCAATACAATTTCTATGCTTAAATCACTCACATGCACGTGAAGTCTTCCCTCATGACTCAGTTATCTGGAAAGTGACGTTTCCAAGTAAAAAAAGGCAATCTCGAGCTTTAATGCTTAGTTGCTCTCTCAGTTTTATGTGCTGCAGAAAACAGCTGCATTTCCTCCTCTTTGTTTCAGTACAGACTCACAAAGCAATCACTTTTTTCTGCAAACAGGCTGGACTAGAAGCAGACATTTCAGACAAGATAGTAATGCTATTAAGGTCAGATGACAAAGAACTAGAAGGTAAAAACAGTCAGAAGAATGATTACAGAAGAATTTTTATTATAATTTTCCTAAACTTGATGCCTTATCCAACAAAGAGCAGAATAGGGGAAGAAATAGAAAAAATACAGCAATAAGTAAATGATACAGCTGAACTGACTTATACCTGCAAGAAATATCAAATGTACACATTAAGACACATTTACCAACAGGAATGCAGTCATTCAAGTGACTAAGGAAAAGAAAAAAGGAAGTAAAGCAAGACAACAAAGGTTGGCTAATTTCCTTCTAATGTCATACTCCTGCAGGGAAGCATGACAAATTCTTACCCATCAATTATTTGTCTTTTTGCCCTACGAAGAGAGACAAAACAGGAGTGACAGAAAGCAATACAAATGACACATGCCCGCGGCAGATAGTTACGTAATGCTGACGTACTGCCTGCTCTTTGCTCACACTTACTTTGCTGCAATTCCAAGTACAGGCTTTTAACAGCTGCCCAGTTTGAACACTTTTAAACTGCTTTGTAAATAAAATGCAGACACACAAAGAAGAACAAGATACAGAAAGAAGCTTAAGAGATATTTCCAACAGAGATAAAAATAAGAAACGCTGTGGATTAGCTTTATGATGAGACGTTTTCTTTTTCATAAGAAGTCACAGAACTGGCTTTTTGTGCTAAAACTCTAAATTGCCTGCCAGTCTAAAGCCTTTTAGTTTAACTTACTTAGAAGAAACCACAAATAAAAAGAGAAAGCTCCTTCAACTTCATTAAAGTGCTACTGCCAGGAATGGAAACACAAGTCAGTAATTATTTTGATAATAATACACACCTAGAAATCTTTCTATTTGCAAGAGAACTTGACCTGAATAGAGTCAAACAGATCATCTAGAAGTAAAGGCAGAATGGGTACAAACAGGGCCAAAAGGTATTCATTATTAATCATGGAAGAAAAAAAATAAAAATAAAAAAAATACCGTGAACACAGCAGAACTGGCCAGATTTCATAAACTAAATTCATAAAACATTTATAAAATGTGGTATTAGCCATATTAAGTCATCTTTTTTCCTACATTTTGTCTTCAAAAACTAGGACACTACCATAAAATCTGCGATGATCTATTGCTCAGTACCTATCACAGCCATTATGTAAGCAAATATATCACAACACTTAAGATCACATGCTTGAATAATCAGCTTCTAATTAAGTATATCTGCAATTGCCTTGTTCCTTCCTTTCTCCAACCCAAAACAGTAAGTAAACAACGCTACAAAAATCTCAGTCTTCAGCAGTCAGATATAACAAAGAAACTAAAACAATACACTCCTTCCTGTGGGGCAGTAATCAGTAAGGCTGTATTTTAAACGCTGGAGCACAGCAGACTGATTTACAAAAAATGACTACACAATTTAATATACATAACAAACTGAGGAGGCCAACTCATGGAGTTAAACATTAAGATAAGCACTTTTGGGAGGCCACACCAAAGAGTGTTTATCCAAAGATGGGCATCAGCATCATCACTGGAAGTTCTTAACAAGCATAAGATAAAAATATTACAGAGACAAATTAGTTCTTCATGTGTTTTTTTTGTACTCCTTTGAGTAACTAAATTACAGTCTCCCTTGTACCTGCCTGACCTCTAAGAACATGTATTCAAGGCCTTTTAAAACATGCCCAGGTCACCTCAGGCCTCAAGGAAGACAGTGTGTAGGCTCTCAAGAAAATGCTGTCACAGCATTTTCCTTCTCTGTTGCAGAGAAGAAGGAATGACTTTAGGACTTCTACTGATTTCAAGTTATGGAAGCACAGTGCCAGAAAAGAAGTGTGCTAGAAATCACTGACCCATAAAGCAGTTGGTGACCAACTACCATCCTAAAAGGCATATGTCACAGGGTGCATGGTGTGTTCATCACCCCTATGACAATCCCCGTATTTAAGTGCCCAAAAGCAGACAGAAATTTAAATCCTCTAAGACTATCACAATAAACATTCCAAATATAATAAAAGTGTTTCCTATTATTTTTTCTTAAAGCATAACCTGGGAACAATCTGAATATAAATACCAGTATTTACATATGCACAGACATTAAGTGTTATTACTTCTGTGGACATTGTTTTCACTACTCGGTAAAACACAAACACTAAGATAAATAATTCAGGACTTCGCTAGAAGATTGCAGTTGAAATTTGAATCACAGAGAGTAACAAAGATTTCAGACTTTCTTATCTTTACATTCATAGCAAAGCTATAAAGTACAAGGAACTTAAGGATAAAATTAAAACTTTTGGGGTGACTGACTGCACCTAAGTCATTTTTACACCCAATAGTCAGAAAAGCTTATATATTTTGAGTATAATTGACCTTAAGCTAGTGACTGAAAGATTTATGTAACTGACATTAAACTCATGACTGCGAGAAACAAACAGGACAATCAGTTCGGTCAGGATGAAAATCTTTGTATCCTAAGTGATTGCTTCTGTGGTTAGGTTCAGGACCTAAAGAAAAATTGGTCTCATGGACCCACAAAGCTGCAGACCGCTCTTGAGAAGAGAGTGCTCGTGCATATGCATATCCACATACACACACACTGAAGGTCAGTCTCCTCCCTGCATTTCACACTTCCCTCCCTCTCATCTTCACACAGGCCTTGCACTCTATCCCTGTGCCAGACAGCTACTAGCTTCTAGAAATCCCAGGCTTTCAGAGGTTGGCTCTGAAAGCAGCACGTACTTAGCGGAGACAAGGACCCCTGTCCCTTCCTCCCCCGGCTGCTCCGCACTGCCGCGGCGCGCCCCGCTCTCCTCCTCGGCCGCGCTCCCGGCAGGGGGAGGCGCCAAGAAAANCTCGGCTCGGGGCCGCGCTCGGCCGGGATCGGGGCCGCTTCGTCCTTCCCCTGTCTCCCCTCGGCAGCGCTGTTCTGTGGGGCTGTTAGGTCCCAAGCCCAGGCCTTGCCTAGATATTTATCACTATTGATCACCATGGGGCAATGAGAAAGACAGTATGGCACAGAAGACATCTTGAGGACCCGGAGAGCGATTCTGAATAGGCATCTACCTAAACTGATTAACAATCCTGAGCCCGTTTGCCTGCTGTTCCTGTGAAGGCAAAGCACCGTTCCATGGCAAGGAATTGAGATTTTCCTCTTCTCTCTTCCTCCTAAAACTAAATGTTCAGATGTTTATGACCTCCTGGCGTGAAACCGGTTAAAAACGCCTGCGCCCATAAAGGTGTATCGGACGAGGCCGACTCATTTCTAGGTTCCCAAAGTGCCAGATGTGTGCCAGATGTGTGCCAGCTGTGGCACGCAACAATTTCAAACAGCCGTAGATGCATCTCTGGGCTGCAGTGGAGAGGAGCGTTCGCGTGTAGCTCATCTGTAGCTGATCCGCAAGGCAAATGCTCTCACAAAAGTGGCTCCCCGCTATCAGTAATGGCCGGCACTCGGAGCTTTCTCCTGCAGCTGAGGCCGTCACCTTTCCGTAGCTGCCTGCTGACCCGAGCGGCAGGGACAGTGTTTTGTGCAGGCAGCGATCACGGGTGATCAGAGGGAGAGCCAGCTCCATTATTGGAGTTAGGTTTCTCGATGGGGGTGGGAATGAAGATAGGCAGGATTATAAGGGAGGAGGAGGTGGAAGCGTGAGATTTTGCGCCTGTGTGTCTGGGACCTTGCTTGCAGCCCTTAAACCCTGCTCGTGTAGCAGTTACTAAAGCTATCCAAATGAAAAGAAGAACATGTTTGGAAAGTTCTGGCCTGTTCTCTTCGTTGTGCATTTGTTTTGTTTCTTGTACAACTCTGTTGCACATCAAAAGCCTTCGCAGTTAGGAAACAAAGCTGGCAGAGAAATATAGGCAAGGAACAGATTAATATTATTTTCCTAACAGGATTTTCTCCTTTTTCTTCACTATACATATTGAATGTTTAATTATTCTGTCCTAAAAGGAGCGGTTATTAATAAAGGTCATCTTGAGTTTAAGAAAGTTGGTACAGAGTATTGCAGTGTGTTTCAGTTTCCAAAATCTCTTAATTGTATTTCCAGGTTTCACGGTACATGGAAATTGGACCATTCGTGGAATCAGTTTGACATCCTCTGTATCCGTAGCAACAATTATCTCCAAAGTAAACTTTTTCTGAAGTGTTGCATGTGACATCTCAGCTCAGGAAGCTGTCACCTGATCTCCATGGCTTTTTAAGTGTTGTGTCTCAGCTCTGCGATACACTGTCCTAGAAATTCCAACTAGTTAAGAGCTGCCGAATGGAATTCGAGACTGCAAGTGTTGGAATACAATTGAGTAAGCATTTATTGAGATGTAATGTTCAGTTATGAACTCATGCAATTCATGTCTTTTAAAGGAAGAAAGAACAATAAGCAAGAACCAAATTGGAAAATTGGAAAATATTCCATAGTGCTTGTGAATAGAGTCAGTAGAGGCAGGAGCAGATTCAGTAGAGATAATAGAGTTGTGTGTGGAGAGGGGGCTTCATATTTAGGAACAAATTTTGGATGGATGGTTTAGCTTATATACAGAGACCAAACTTACTTTGGGAATATAAATGTAGTTATGGGACTTATACCAAAGCAGGCCATGTGAATAATTTAGGCTTTAAATATGCCCTTCTTTTGATTCTTACTCTTTCTGGAACATCAAAATATTAAAAAAAGGGAGATCACACATTTCTTTCAGATCTTTGTATTTTTAAAATAGTGTTATCTGTATATTTTAATTTAACTGTCTGATTCCAGAGGTTTTGACCATGACATAATATTAACCTATAATGCAAAACAATTTGCAAGCACTAAGGTTCCTTAAAATCACAGAACCACAGAATGGCTGAGGTTGGAATGGACCTCTGGAGGCCATCTGGCCCACCCCCTGCTCAAGCAGGGACACCTAGAGCAGGCTGTCCAGGACCAGAGAGTTTTTGAATATCTCCGAGAATGGAGTCTCCACAAGTTCTTGGGGAAACTTAAGTCAGTTCTTGGTCACTCTCACAGTAAAAAAAAAAATAAAGTTCAATGTCCAGAGGGAGCCTCCAGTGTTTCTGTGTGGGCCCATAGTTTTGTCACTGAGCATTACTGAGAAGAACCTGGCTCCATCTGCTATGCACCTGCCCTTCAGGTATTTATATACATTGATGGGATCCCCTCTGAGCCATTTCTGATGCAGGCTGAAGGGCTCCAGATCTCGAAGGCTTTCTTCACAGAAAAGATGCTCCAGTCCCTTCGTCACCCTGGTGGCTCTCTGCTGGACTCTCTCCCTTGAGTTTATATTTCTCCTGTACTCTCCTGTACAGAATATATATTGAATGTAGGAAATGTGTCTTTCAGAAATACTAGGGCTTTATTACTTAGGTGAACAAATCACATGGACTGTCCTGTTGACTAAAACACTTGAATGCTAGTTTTAAGATTTACTTTTTCATTTTAACATTCTTAAACCTTAAGGGCCTATAACAACAGTAATGGTTAGGACTATTTTCTGGATCCTGCAGAATATTATTTTTTGTCAAAGAGCTGTATTTAAAGAGGCAGAAATAGTGCTCTAAATAGCACTTAATCAAAATATTTTCAAATTTACATTTAAAAGGAAGTATTGCTTCAGACCTTTTTTAGGAAAAAAGAAACTTAATTACTGTTAGTCAGCAAACTTACAACAGTTTAAACTTTGTTCCACCATGAAAATTGGCCAAGAAAATATTCTTCTTGGTAACAACAGCTCTTGCAAGCCCAGTTCTGTGAAAAGTTGTCTTGAAGGATGGCATTTGAATTCAGACAAGTCTGAACTTAATTGCACGAAGGCAAGCAGTCCAAGACTGTTAGCAATTTTAATCTTGTTTTTCATTCATTATTCAATCAATGGCCAGCAAATAAGAAAGTACAGTATTTATCTTTACATTTCTTCACCTGTATAAGCCTATTCAAATTTTTAAGGTTTCTTATGGAACTTTCAGAGTAGGTAGATTTCAGAACTAAGTTAATTTTATCGTAATAAAGATACATAAACCAAATACTTATATTGGTTAAAATACAAATATTTATATTACATTTATAGTACATAATTTTGTACTATTTTAAGTAAATATGGCTGTTACTATTTTATTTGCTATACCATATAAAGAATTTAAAAATTAAACAGCAGAACTTTGGCTTGGTTTTCTTCATCTTTTCTTCTCCTTTTTTTTAGGCAACACAGGCAATGCCACAGCCATCATTAGTAGGAACACTGGGCTACTTTTAAGATTTTGTAGCCAAATGTAGATTTTCAATTACACTGTCATCATCTTTGTTCAGTGTGCATATACACGTGTACAGTTTTGCAAACCTGCCCTTTGGATATGTCCTAATACCGTGCAGGTGTGTCTGAACCAGGTTTAAAAGTCACTACTGCAACACAGAGCTCAGACTGGGAAATATCTCAAATATTTGTCTTGGTCTAGGACAGATTTTGCAGGCTGCAAGGATCTCTTTTCTGCTGCAGCTCTTTCCTGCTAAGTCATGGAGACAGTTCTGAACTAACTCAGATATATTCTGAAAAGCTCCCCACAGCTGTGCTATGCACAGCTGTACTTTGTCTAAGCTCGTAGCAGGGTTAGATCCCTACATCTCTTGTTGTCTCCCTTATAACCTACATTAATTACCTTTGCTGACTACAAGCACAGTTAAAGCAGGACACCACAGAAGTGAAGGAACCTCTTCTTTCAAAAAGGCTTCAGACAAGTTCAGGGAGCCAATGCCCACATTAGCAGTAGTACAGCTTCTTCAGTACAGCTCAATGGCTTTGCAAGGAGAAAAAAAGAGCATAATGAGCTGACACTGCAAGGTGATTGCATAGCCACTTCTGTGCTGTAAGCTGTGAGCCTAGAGGAAATGGTACAGAGTCCATAAATAAAGGCTGAGGCAGTGTGTGCTTGTCTCTCCGAGTAGATTCTTCTTAAAAGTCTCTTTTCCATATGATGTGATGCATTGAGAATGAAGAATGAATGCAAAGGCTGCTGGTGTTTCACACAGGTAACAGAGGAGGGTCTAACACTGAGTAAAAAGGATCTGCCAAGTCCCACCTCTTTGGAGAGGCACGGGTACTTGAGAGAAGTTAGCTTAAAGCAGAAGAATCACAGGAATAGGCGCGTGTGTGGCAGTTTGAAGTTGTTAATTTTAAAATTAGATTATTTCTTAAAAATCTGTGAGTTTGTAATTATTTTTTTTTAAATCCCTGGTAATAAAATATAATACTTTAAATATTTTTGTTTTATGAACACTGATGGTGGACACTACCTAAACACACCACAAATGTCAAAAGCTGAGAAACAAACAGGATTTTCTAAAATTCATGTGGCCTAGCTTTTCAGTGTGTTTTCAGCTACAGATCTGATGTTAAAAACCTGATGTTGACAGTTGACAACTTGTGCTGTTATGTAAATACACAATGTTTAACAAATAAAAAAAAATGCCCCTCTGGCTTTGAAGTTTTCATTTAACAATTGAGATTGAATGGAATGTGCAAAAGTCAGAGTCAATAAAATCAGGGACAGTAAATTTGAAATACAGAATAAAGAATGTAAATGCACACCAAACTGTGAAGGAATGTGGGAAATATGTGAGAAAATACCTTCAGCTGAAAAACAATGAACAACAAAACAATCCCCAAACCCTTGAAATCTTTTGGGGGAAAAAATGGAGGAAATGGCAGAAAATACAGACATCTGTAGGCTTAGTGCATCAGAAGTCAATAAAGATGCAAGCTACAAGAAGAAATCCAATGCTGTTATGAAGTCTTATTTGGACAAGATATTTCTATTCTGATCTTGGCAATGTTTGTCATTTTTGTAATATCAATAAGGCATGATTAAGTAGAAAACAGTTTTAGCATGTATTCCTTAGGAAAAAGATTATTCAAATATTTGTTAATCCATTTATTTGAAAGCTACTTGGATATTAAATTGGCTGTATGAAAAACAAAATCTAATCAGTTCAGGCCTTGATGTTATCTGAAAATGATTTTCTTATTCAACTAGAAGAGGAAAGTGCAAACAATAGATACACAAGTAACTCCATGTTCTTGTAGTGCCAATGTTGCTGTAAGTATTAACTGCAAAGCACATCCTAAAGGAACAGAAGAAAGCTGGATATATATTCACAATAATTTACTGCTAGATCAGTAAGTCTGAAGTGCTGGCATTTCTCCTAACACTTATAATGCAATATAAAAATCTATTTGAAAAAGCGATAAAATGAAAATGATCTTTTCAGTTGCCCAAATGATGTTGATCATTCAAATCGTTAGTGGGTTTTTCTAAATAAGTTTCAGTCTGTTCATCATTGTATATGTTCCCCATATATACAGCTCTTGAACAGGCTTTATGCCCAAATTGATTTATTTCTACATAAAACAAAGCTCTGCATAAATTATAAGCCTCTTTTATTATGAACCTCCCCTTTTATCCTGAGTTTGTAATGCAACTGCATTAAAAACCACATAGTGGTTACAGAGCTGTTGAGCTGTTAAAGTGGCTCCTTGTAATGCCAGCTTAGTCTCCCTTGAACATAAGGCAGAATACAAACAGAAACAGAGCAGAATATAACAGAAATGTTGTTAACCACCAGATTGTCAACATGACCTAACCAGCTGCAGAGCTAACTCAGCCTAAATTCTGGCTAAGGCCCCATGCCTCGAGTTTCCTGTTGAGTAAGCATTCTGTTTCTTGGTTCAAATGACTCTTCAACTGACTTCCAGAGGATTTCTGATGTTTATAGATTTTATCTATTAGCTAGCTATGTAACATTAGGTAGCATGTGAATATGATCTCTTACCTCAACAGATGATTTCTTAAACATGGAGAAAAATGTTCTTTTTCACTGGTCCAGCATGCTAACAGTCAAATAACATTGTGTCCCATTGTCAGAATACACTCTGCTATTTCAGATAGTGGCAGTTCCCTAAATTTTATCCAGTCACTGCTCAGTAATATGCAAACACATAAAAGTTGCTCAGGTCTTTTGCATACTCATGTTTTGAAAAGTATGTAGCTCTCTGGAAAAAATGCCTCCTTCGGTGAATCTGAGTGGAAGTGTCCATCAACATCTGATCTGACCCAGGGCTGCAGTGGTAGGAAGGAAAAATAAATGTTGAGAATTAATCTTCAGTGGAGATTTCCACTGAAGCTAGCTTTTGTTCCATTGTGTGGTATGTGTAGGTAGCATCAGGCCTGATATTTCAGCATTCCTGTCAGTTTGCAGGCAAAGAAAGCAGCGCTATGCTTGAAAGTCTTAAATGCTGCTGGTAGAATGCAGAAGGGCTCTAAACCAAGTAGTTCAGTAAGAGTTTGAGCTTCACAAGTTTATGTGAGTTCAGCTATTTGAAAGGAAGAACGCTTATCTTGAAATATTTGTCAGCTGTGTTGCCCCAATTTTTTCTACTACAGAACAGTTAGCTCACCTAAATTTAGATGTTTCTGTCACAGATGTCTGCACTGGATCCAGATATCTGGGTATTTTTTATAGTGAGTGGAGGAAAAAAGGCACTTTCATGATGCAACTGATCTCATTCTAAGATACATGCTCCTCCTAGTCTCATTGGCCACCTCAGAAAAATGTACAGCCACCTTTTCTTCATTCCCTCCCTGAAGGTATTTATACACATGGATGGGATTCCCCTCAGCCTCTCTTCCCCATGCCCAAGTCTCTCAGCCAACAATGAGAGGTGCTTTCCTGGACTTGATAGTTACAAACAAGGAATAGTTGGTCAGGGATATGAAAGTTGGAGCAGCCTTGGCTGCAGTGGCCATATGACCACTGGGGTAACAGGATCCAGAAGGATACAGGGGGAAGAATATCCAGAGAGAAGAAAGCAGGGCAAAAGTCAGGACCACAAGCCTGCATTTTGGGAGCTCAGACTCCAACTTCTTCAGAGAACTTCTTAGAATAGTCCCATAGGATATGACTCTTGACCCTAGATAGAAGAAGTTTCCAGGAGAATTGGTTTATATTCCAATATCACCTCCTTCAAGCTTAAGACAGCTCCATCCCAACTCAAGCAAAGATCAAACAAAGGCAGCAGGAATCCTACAGGGATGAACACAAAGCTCTTATACTAATTCAGATATAAAAAAGAAGTGCATGAGATGAGGGAAATGACAGGTGACCCACAAAATATGCATAATGTATCTTTAATAATGGTATGTTTCTCAAAAATATAGCAGAAGGTACTTTATTTTAGTGTTGGAGCTATTTTATTTAATATTATTTTATTTTACTTTATTTTCTCATATCATTCAAATATCTCATTTGATTAGCCCTTTCTACCTGGAAAGCTGAGGGAAAGGACATTTAAGGGCTAACTTTTCTCACCACAAAATAAGGAAGGAAAGATGAAAGAGGGAAAGGATATTCAAGAATTTGAACAGGAGATAAGTCTCCTGTGCTTCTGGAAATGTGTTCACATGCCAGCCATATTCTCTTGGAGGTGAAAACCTTGTGGGCATCAACCACCATGCTAGTTCTGCAATGTGGCCAAAGCAGAAATTAAAAAAAAACCAAAAAACAACAAAAAAAAAAAAAACCAAAACCCCAAACCAGGTACATATCACAGAAAAGAGAATGAGTCACTGGAGATCAGGACCATGGCATGTTCCAGCCACAAGTCTGTAAGTACACTGAGTAACAATTAAGTGAGATTATTTCCATGTGATTTGGAAAGCTCTTCGGTGAGATCTTCCAGAAGTGCTGGGTCATGTGCTGACAATACTGCTATTAAGAAGGTGGGAACTGAAAATGGAAGCCTCTGTAAAATCCGCAGGCAATATTAAGTCTCAGAAAAAAGAGTAGGCACCAGACAAGGAGAAACAGGTGAAAAATAATTTTCAAAAACCTTTGGAAACTTGGAAACCAGCAAATGGGAGAAACCATATTGCCTAAGATGCTGGCTGATAATTTGAGAGAGTTTGACTAGGACTAAGAAATAGTCTTTTGCTCCCAATACTTAGAGATCTAGGACTGCTTTCCTAGGTCCAGTTTCTCTTGACCATATCCCAGCTCCATCTGAGGGACATACTCAGGCATGCATTATACCAAACTCCCTAGCCTTTGATATTTGACATACCATGCTTCAATAGAAGCAAAGCCAGGACTTGTGAGATGAATGGGACTGACTGTGTTTTACAGCATCTTTTTTTGGTATTTCCAACTGGTGCCAGAATCCCAGCAATAGTGATTCTGCATGTAGCAGCTGTAGTTAGAACTCAGGAAGTGTTACAGGAAGAGGGCTTCAACTCAGGTATCAACAATTAACACAGAATGTTGTTCAACTCGGCACACAGACATCCAGTTGGCAGGATGTGCTGGTCTCAACTACTTTCACTCTGCTACAGATGTCCCAGTCATGAAGGAAGTGTGGCATTTGTTTGGCTCATTGGGATATCAGACTTATGAGTGATAGAAAACTTGGTTCCAAATGTGGAATATACTAATTGTTCTGATGTCAGCTCTTGCTGAGGTAAAGCATCTGAGATAAGACCATGGTATTTGCATATCAAAACAGTTTTGCCAAGTATGTGCCTTTCAGGATGACTTTGAGAAACTATTTTATCTTAGCACTGTTAGAACTAGATAAAGTAAATGTTAATAATTCACTCTCCTTGAAGATCAAGGAATGCGTCACCAGGATTCAAAACCTTTTTGGGATATTGTAGGCAGGACTGGGTGCTTCAAATGGAGTCATCTGCTACAGAGTGAGCTGTCTGTCCACATTCTTCAGCCTTACAGCCCAGCACATACAGCACCAATATGAGTAGCAGGCTGTGGGCTCTGTGTGTTTTAAGTTGACAACACAGTTACTAAGACATACCAGGATTCATCTGGACTCACCTTGACCTGCCTGAAGGTTGAGGTTAGTTTGTTTAGCTGTAACAGCTGTTGAATGATAACCAGCTGACAGTAACTTGATTTGTTTCAGCCTTTGCTTAGCTTTGTACAGCTGAAAGGTATCAGGCTTATTGCAGTATATATTTGTATAAGTAGTAAATACAACATGTAATTTTTCTTTCTCTAGTGAGCTATGATGATGCTACAATAAAAATAAGGGTAGAGATGTACAGGCATGGGATGATAGCTGGAGCCTTAATGGTGGAGACACAGGTTGGTAACAGAGACCTCTGGTAGTAAACAACTTGGGACCAGCCAGTTATTGGCTGCCAAAGGAATGGTGCCTTGGCAGATGGGTAAAACAATTTATGGGTGACAAAGAGAGGTAAAAACAGGTATCTGATATATGTTAAAACAGGCTGTACATAGTAGATTTTGCTGTAATATGGAATTGTGAACCATTGAGTAAGGAGCAAGCAAATTGTGTTAGAAGTATATAATAATGACACTAAGAAGACTCAAGAGGGAGGAGGAGGAAACCATCAATACCAACATCATATTTTCAGTAAAGAGAAATAAGAAACCCTCCACACCACATATCTTCCAT